GATCTGACTTCGAACACCGATAACACGATTATGGTATATCAGCTGCCTTTGAAGCTTCAGAACACATTTTGATTCTTTAAAACATGCTGATGACTTACGGTTTTATCGAGGCTTTATGATGGCTCTCAACCACCAGGCAGGCATACAAGGTACTTTAAAACAATGTTTAAGATATTAGTTGACAGAACTCGAATGCGGCACATCTCTTTTTTGTTTGATGGTATTTTGTTTGACACTTGATCGATTCATGTGTTGTGTTCATGTCACAATAACCGATGTAAACAATCTGTTCCCAGATTTCTGCTCTATTTGCTGTGGGATTTGATTTTTACTTCATACACTATAAACAGTCTGCCTGTTTGCTGTTCAACAAATAAACCCCTAAAGACATGGCTAGGAAAAGCCAAGTTTTTTGCGTACATTTTAACTCGAAAACAAAGCAAAAACCAGCGACAAAAATACAGGACCAAGTTTTTCTATTGCATTGAAGACCACATGCAAAAATTGAAGCTCTTTTGCAAAATATTTTTTTCACCCAAATCGTTACTTAGCATGGTTTAGCACTCACCCCTTCAATTTGTAAACCTCCACACAAAAACATGTCTTGAGGAACACTGCAACTTGAGTCAAACTGTTTTTCCTTTACTGGAATTGCAAAGGCATGGGAGGGGTAATGCAGTTTGGAATTCCAAAACAATGGGACAGTTTCAGTTCTGAATTTCCAGAGGGTGGAGACAATGAAAGCTTTGCTTGAAATCACTGATCTGTTAGCTTTTTTAGTTCATAAATCTGCGTAAATCAAGCACAAACTACTGTGGAAGCAGGATAAAGATCAATCAAGCAGGTGTTAGCATTCATGCTGATGAGAGTAGATCAAATGTGGGTTGTGCAGCAAGCTCCATATTGAAGAAGCCTTTAAGTTGATGAATTAGTCCTTAGATTAATAAAATATAAAAAAAGTCTGTGTTTCTTACGGATTTAAAATTTTCAATTGATGATCTTGTTGCCTGTGAAAAACTCACACCAGTCTCATGGGGGTAACCTAGTTTGGAATTCCAAAAGCATGGGGGAGTTTCAGCTCTGAATTTCCAGAGGAGGGAGACAGCAAAGGCTTTGCCTGCAATCACTGATCTGTTGACTTTCCTAGTTTGTAAATCAAGCAGGTAAAGCTGTGGTGTATTTGATAGTAAACAACTTAAAGATAAGACTTAGAAGATAGGAAAGAGTACTACTGGGGAAGCTGTGGTGTACTAAAATGTTAACAAACATGAGTTGCTGGTGTGCTAGTTTGCTTCACTGAAAATTGAAAATTTTCTTGGGGGGCGGGGGAAGTGCAAGTTTCCCATTTGTTAGAAGTTTTAGGCAGTCAAATGGATAGAAGGAAAGGAAGGAGGGTTAACGATTTTAGAATTCAGGGGACATGGGGGTTTGAGCATTTTGGAATTTCCAAAGGCAATGGGGAGTTAAAATGTTCATGCCGCCCATCCTAGGGTATGGATACATTGTATTTTCTGGAATCACCCATTTGTTGAGCATTTTAATGAACCTGTTGTTTTGCCATTCAAATTTGAGATAAACCAATTTTGAAAAAACTAATGGCAACATTTCAACATTCATCTGGTTTATCTGGGCTTCGCCATGGCCATGTGAATACACTAAGATTAAAGTACATTTTTTGCATTTTATTGGTCTTTTTCCCATAGCCTACACACAGCCTGTCAGTTAGGAAACTTTGAGTGTTTAGAGGTGTTGCTAGAAGAACAGCCTGACCTATCATTTGTTAACAGGTCAGGTAAGTATAAGGTCTGTTTTTTGCCTCTATTCTTTACACTTTTTGTCTTGAATATTTGACAGACAATAATTGTCAAGAAAAAATCCAGTTCATCCATTGAGAAATTTCCATCTCTTGTACTACCCAGGAATGTGGTAATGTTATGTACAACACCTTACTATCCAGTTTCTGCTCTATTATCTCTCCATTGGTGACTTACAGGAGGTTAAAAACAAAGGAAAATGTCAAACTTTAAGCTCTGAAAGTGGTCGCACATGGTATACAAGAGGTGGTTGCTTACAAGAGGTTCTAAATATAGTGATTTGACTTAGAAAAATTTGGTGTTTTCGAAAAGTGGCTGCTGAAGAGACAGGGGCGCTTACAATAGGTTGTGGCAATCGGAGGTTTGACTCTACATAAATTAGATAGATTCCATGTTGCAGTGCATCTGTTTAGTAATAGATCACAGAAGATGTCAAAATGTGATCTATTTTTGAACAGATGCATGGCAACATGAAATCTATTTGTTAATAAGAAACTGAACGAATCTAGTTCATGCTTGATCAATCGGGGAAGACAAATAAGTCATGCTGTATCTGTTACACTGTACCTTTAAATTTGTGTCTAAAATTAGTGGAATGCAGGTAGAAACTCACATTTATCCAAATCAACATATTCTGAATTATTAAGGATTTCCTTGCCTGTTTTAGGTGACAGTTACATTTTTCACCTATCAGTTCCAAAAATTACTGAAATCAGAAGGTAGCGATGCGAGTGTTGTTTTGAGCTACCATATTACATGAAATTTTTGCAACAAATTAATTCTTATGATTTTCACATAATTGAAGTGGTGTTGTGTGAACATAACATGATGCAAAAATTAAGCGACTCACATTATGTCAACAGTCAATAAAGAGCAACTTTATTACTACTGAAATATTTACAAAATCATATTTTGGAATTTTCAAATGAATGTAAATGGATATTGTGGTCAGTTGACCTGACCGGTAATTTACATACAAACATGAACTGCTTGTGGACATTGTGAGATCTGCTTTGTTGTGAGTGTGGCAATATAGTCCCGCTGTTGCATTTTTGTTTATTTTGACAATATTGTACCTTTGGTAAATTAAATTTTGTTTTCTAAATTCAAGGACATGTTAAAGAACATTGCCAAGGCAATAAATTATTGACTGTTAATCAAAAATGCAAAGTTAAAGTGATTCAAAATACAAAATTTCCGCAAAATCGTGGAATTTAAGTGTTTCAAAATATGCGCAGCTCAAAATAGTGAAATGAACATTTTGCAAAAATTTTGTGTAATAAGGTACACACTACATGTCCTTGATCAATATTCAAAATGCTTATCCTGTGTAAATGTGTAAATTGTCATATGGATGTATATAGCCTTGAATTATAGAGCTTGATATGTGAACCAAAATTTCTTAGGTAAGACACACAGAGAAGCTATTGGTGGCAATACCCTTTATTTCCCTTGTTGCTAGCTTAGTTTAAATAACTAAATCAATAACTACAAGGTTTTTCGTGGCCTTGCCTAATGTCTTTAGGTTGTAGTCCTCTTCATGTGGCAGCACAGTCAGGGAATATTGAATGTGTGAGGCAAATATTACAACACAAGGTTCATGTCGGAACACAGGATGGCAGAAAAATGACAGCGCTACACCATGCAGGTATGTTTAGCAGCTCTGTGACATTATTAAACTATTACAACCCTTTTAACTCTAGGTAGTACATAGCATTTTTATTAGTAAAGTTTCAAGTGAAAACCATGTGGAAATTATTGCATTCAGGCTTTATTCATTACTCTTTTTACATGATTGATCAAAATACACTTCAACCTGTAAATCTGACAACTAATCTCATGCTAAAATTTCACAAGTTTCTGTTCCATACTGTACAATTTTTTTGGAAACAACTGTTGAGTCTGTGAGGTGATCATTAGGAGCTTTTCAGTTGCTAGTTGTCTCTGCAGGTTTTAATTGGTCCAAAGGCCAAAACCTGAGAAGATATCATGGTGGTGCAGGCACGTGTATATACATGTATATGATTGTACAGGAAGAAAATGAAAAAGAGAAAGTATTAGTTTAGTATCTATACGGAAAAAAATTACGGGATTGAACAACAATTAGCTTGCACAAGGTGGTATCAAGAAAAACATTGTCGGCGTTCAAGGTGGTATTGGGTAATTATTCATTCAACCATGAGTTTGAGTGTCAACTGAAAGTATCTGATGGATTAGAAATGTTCAATTATACAAAGCAAAGGTGAGTTACATGTACTTACATTGTTTATGCAGGTAGCAAATTAAAGCTTTAGGAATAATATTATTTTGAAATCATTGATGTGGTCAAAATTTTGAATGATTTTTTTTTGTTTTGTTATCCATATGTTTGTTCTTTCTCAAGAACAAAGCTGTTGCCTTTGCTAAAATGTTGCCCAAAGTATCATGATTGCTCTTTTTTCCTCTAGCGGCAAAAGGACACAAAGGATGTGTTGAACTTCTTCTTAATAACAACGCATCCCTTAATGGAAAAGACAAGGTAAGAATAATTCTTGCCTTCAGTTCTGTCATTTGTAAAGTGCAGATTTATGCATATAAAGGATTGCAAACTTTTCCTGAAGGATCACACAGTCAACACTTGTACACCACTGAATTTGTTGAGGCATTTTTTTTATTGGTACAACTGGATCACCTTTGTTAAACAATGGTCAAGTTGTTTTCCTCGTGTCAATTTGAAACGTGAGCGATTTTCTTTCCAACCAATTCACAGTGAGCTTTCTTCATGAAGTGATTGCTAGCATTCCAGTCATGCACTATTTGTTATTGTTTCCCAAAGAAAAACTGCTTTTTATGAATTTTCTTTGGCCAGGATGGTAGAACTCCTTTGCTGATGGCAATACAGGGAGCCTTTGAAGATGTTGTCAAATTGTTGTTGGAGAGAGGAGCCAAGGTCAACATTGCAGATAATGCCAAGAAGTAAGTGTCCCACATTAAAATGCGATTATTAACGGTTGCTGCAAAATGTAATACTGACCTAAAATGTGTTCAAACGTGTGCAAAAATTATAAAATAATGTACGCAGTAAGCTAAGGGTCTTTTGGCAGTCCAGTGAACTCTTGTTATATCAGACACATTCTCGCTGTCATTTGGGGTCCATAAAGAGGGAGTTATGGCAGTTAGTTGGGGGAAAAAAATTGCTCGCTCAGTCAGTGAAGTCATTGGTATACAACAAAGGTGGCTGTATAATTCATTGCGGGATCCACATACCCTTACATGGGTGGCATGAACATTTTAAGCCCCCCTTGTCTTCAGAATTTTTAAAAATTAATGCCCTACCCCGAGGCCCTGTTAGGGGGGGGGTACCCATGTCCCTTGTCTGAAATTCGTCACCAGCCATGTCGGCATTTTGCAAGATTCCTATGTTGCCTGTAGGAATTTCGTCTCAGAGGAATTGTGTCGGGAAATTTGACCTTGTTCGATTAAAACGAAGCTATAACACGTCGTAATACCTTTGTTTATTTAAAAAAAAAACTGACACAGTGCTCTCAAGTCTCACCCACTGAGTGAGCATGAGGCTCACACAAACAAATTCAATCTTGCGCTCTCACGCTGAAACTATTCTTTCTCACGCATTGAAAGTTCCTTGCTGTTTTAGTGTATATAAAAGTGTATATAAAATTATAATTAAGTATCTCTTCGGATATAATTTACTCCTTGAATGCTTTGCATTTGCTTCAAACACTTTTCAGCAGTAGGAATTCTTACACAGAGCCAGCATTTCTCTGGTCAGTAGTTTTAATGATTACTTTATGATTACTTTTAAAGCATCGCATTTCAACTCAGAATGAAGGAAAAGATTTCTTAGCTACTTCAATTTTTCAAGATTTTGTTAGGGGCTGGGGGCATGCTGGGGGGCATATTGGGGCATCCTTTCTAAGGGCTTGGGCATGCTTTCGAGCGCTGAAGTTGCTAACCTCCTAGGGGATGTGGGGGCATGCCCCCCCTGGGAAATTTTGAAATTTAGACGCTTGGAATTGCTATTTTCAGCCTTTTTCCAGTCAGTATTTGGACCTAAAGTACAATCGAACCTATGACTATTTTTACCATGTTTATGTTAAATAACCATTCTTTAACTCAAAATCTCAATGGCCTCAATCAGATAATCTCTCCTATGTATAATCTTCCTCTGAATTTGGCATAACCCTTACCTTCTACTGAAGTCGAGAAGACCTTGGTAGCTTTCCCCTGGTCTCTCTTTTCCTAGTTGATAATAGAGCTTTTTTTTTGACTGGTGGCCCACTAATATAAATATGAAGCCGACTTTCGAAGATCTCTTTCCTTTTTCCTTAAGCATGTTCTTAGGTGTCTTAAGGCACTACTCACTCAGCTGAGAGTGAGAAAAAATACTCAGCAATGACAGACTCGATTTATTCGACATGGACATTTTAGCATATATAAGAAAGCCTGGGTCTCACGACCCATTGACATCGCGCGTGAGAGTGGAAAACACATTTAAAACTCTGGAAATGCATCTTCACTTCGACTCAGATGTTTAAAACAATCACTGCATTCTCAGTTCCAAAATTCGTTGTCGGTCTATCTTGCCATTGGTGTCGCTTTCCCTATTTCGCTGGAGTAGTCTACACACCAATTAATTTCATCAGTCTTTGAGGTGACTTGCTCACTGGTGAAGGATATAATTTCGGCAAAGTAATGATCTCTACCTTCAATACTTCTTGTTGAAACACTCCTCTGTTGTATTGATAGATAGTATTGTTTACTAGGTTGACGTGAATAAGAATGCACTATTCTGTGACTCGACGTGACTATTTTATAATTAGATTAGTTCTTGTTTATTGGTGAAATAAAAATTTGCGTTTTGAATAAACAACATTGTTCCTCTTCAAATTTTCATCACATATTTGACTTTGTTCCTTTATCTCCAGCAGTGAGTAAAACAAAATACACATCTATTCTTATATTTTTGAGGTAACAAGGATATCATATTGCATACCTTGGCGAGGAAAACAAAAGTATCAAGTTACAAATGTTGGTGTGAAAAGTAAAATTGTCACATTTTCTACGTCTACATATTATTGAATTTAAAGTGAATGAAACTCAAAGTTAAGTAAAATACTACGATAAAATTCAAAACTGTCTTGACAAACGGTAATTGTAAGTTATTTTTGGGCCTTGAAAGAAAATACAAACATGAATCATACACACTGCTAAGATTATGCCTTATCATGTCTTTGTCCGCTCCGCATATTCTGTAAAGGGGAAAAGGCCTAGTTGACTACCAAGGGAGAGAACAGGGGTGAGGACCTGTGTGACTACACAGGTATCAGATTGTCTCACTAGTTTTATATTAACTCATTGATGCCTACAGAGAATTGCACATGACCCACCCCTACTTCCCTGGCATGTTTTAAAATATTTCAGAACGAGTGTAAGCACAAAAATAACCATTAGTGATAATTATATGCAGTAACCACAGACACAAGATCGGGTTTCAAGACTTCATTTATTTAAAGTTGAATTAACGGAGGGCCAAAATACGAGAAAATATCAACAAAAGGAACTCAGCCGTCGTGTAAAACCAATTAGAAAACAAGAAATTATATTATTTGTTTGCCGTGTGACAAAATGCCCAAAAGAAGCCAAGAAAATTGAATATGCCTAAATGAGTTATTATTGACTTCAGAGGACAAAACAAACCCTAATACAACAGAATTTGCATTCTTGTACTATTATAATGGCTAACATTTGGGAAAACAATGAAATATAAAAGGGAAGACACGTGTAAAAACCAATTTAAAACAAGAAATCAAACAATTTCTTTGCCACATGACAAAGTAATACAGAACAGTGAAAGAAAGATGCATGAAAGGTATAAATCAAATAGACGACAAAAACAAGCCAATATTTTGAGGTCAATGATATTTCAACCATGTTAAATTAGTGGTCACTTAGTTCTTTTCTCAGCAGTTAGGTAGTCGCTGAATAAGACTCCAAAAATATATTTGAACGAAGTGAATAAACTGAACAAACAAACCAGGTTGCCATAAATTAGTACAGAGAAATCCAGTGTGCATGATTTGCATGTCTGAAGCACTGTTTACTTTTACAGTCTTTCCTGTTAAACTCTGAACACCAGAGAAAATTTTTGGAATGCCTATTGTTTTGTGACCAATCAGATGTGAAACAAAACCACAAGAGGTAACCGGCAAACCGCAACAGTCTGAAAGGCTTCGATTAGTCACGACTTTATGGGAAACAATGAGCTGGCTTTTTTCTTCCACAACAAATCTTCAATTTTACTGTTTTCAAACACTGAAATTGTTCTTTTCTGTTTCAGTAAAGAATAGATATGAATGATATATCATGGAAATTAATTTAAGTGTGATATTGAATTGAGCAGACAGGATCAGACATGGCTTGACAGCTCGTCTGAGAGTAGAAAAATTGTATTCTCCTCTCAATTTGCTTTCAGTGTCTGTGAAGTGTTGTGAAGTGTTGTAAATTGTACACCGGGTGATTATTTCTGGGATTTAGCTTTGTTCCTGTTTGAAGAAAAATTCAAGAAAAGCTTTACACAGTTTTTGCCTTACCTTACTTCAGTACCAGAACACATGACAGAACATTAAAGAATTCTCCAGCTCAAGATATTATGCAAACAGTTAGCTTATAAAAATTTGGTTAATAGAACGATTCTCAAATTTCACGGGCTTGTTCCCTCGATTCGCAGATTTTTTACACTTTGGAAATATCGAAAGTTTTATTCTTTTCTAATTCATGGAGCTGCTGTCTAAGCAAAGAGTCACCATGGCCTCACAACTGAACTAATGTTCAAGTTCAAGTTGATGCGATTTGCCCGTGAAGTAANACCTGCGCTAGTTATAGCCAAATTTTGAATGTCTATAACAGTTCAATGAACAGTACATTAGAAAAAAAAATAGAAAAGAGAAGAAAAGAAAAGTAGAGTGTGCCCTGCCAGGAATCGAACCTGGGACCCCTTCACGCCATACATAGTATGACGCTCCAGCGCTTCTTCCCACTCAGCTACAGGGCATCGGAATGGGAAAATTTTAACTCTTTATAGTACCAGGTACCCTGCAGACCTCCCTGGGACACTTAATTTGGCTTCCGTCGCCAGACCGGAAGAAAAAAAATAGCACATTGTGCTATTTTTTTTTACCATAAACCAACATCAGTCAGATGATTCCATTGGTTCCAAACTACCAAACAGACCGAAAAGCAAGACTGTCAAAATTTATAACGGTGCAGGTTTGCCTCATTTGTCAGGTGAAGGTTTCTCAGGTGCATAACAATACGGTTCGAAAACCACCAATCACAGCCCACTAGCATGACCTTTTGAACTGCATGTGGAACAAACTGGTCAGCATCGCTTGTGATGAGAGACCTTACAATACAATAATGGTGATGGCAACGGCGACATAATGGGACTGGGTCGAGTCCATCGGTTGCCATCTACATTCCTGTCAAAAGTTTACATTATGAAAACGTCTTGAAAACTTCCAGCCTTTGTGAATCTGTGTGTTTATTTACCAGCAGATTTTGTTGAGTTCTTGCTGATTATATCATGCCAAAAGTAAGAGACACTTTTCTTCTATTTTTTGCCTTTAAAAATTATGATCGATGCTTTAGTAGGAAAGATGATTGTCCTCACATGCTTTTTTGTGGTCGTTTGTGGCCAGCACTGGGATTCAGGGGGTGGTTTATGGCCAGCACAGGTGCTAGTGGGTTAATCTTGACTAATGACTAGCCAATTCATCAACTTAAACATCTCTTCGATGTGGAGCTTGCTGCACAACCCAAATTTGATCTGCTTTCATCAGCACGAATGCTAACACCTGCTTGGTCTATCTTTTTCCTGCTTCTGCGGTTGATTCGTGCGTGATTTTCACGGATTTACGAACTAGAAAAGTTAACAGATCAGCAATTTGAAGTGAAGCTCTTAGTGTTTCAACCCTCAGTTCAGAACTGAAACTCATTACGCTCCCCCCATGCCTTCAGAATTCCAGTCTATGAAACACCCTCTCTCTCCCTCACACAATTTCAAGATGCCACCCATGGTATGGGTATGGATATTTTCTCATCCCCATGGGTAGAAGGGTCTCCCTCAGCTCTAAAGCAAAATGTAAACACAAATTCGCATAAGTTACCACCTCATTAGGAGCAATGTAACCTTAGGTTCCATCACCCAAACAACAAGAACGCTTATTTTTATATGCGGTCGAAAGCTTATGTAAAGCAAGCTCACCTTCGATGTAGAAGATATTCTGCAAATTTGCTATCCATGAACTTCCCCAGAATGTCTTTCCTCTCTCCAAAGATTAAATACCGACTGGCGAAGATGAATATACTTAGCGGAACTCGGTAAACGGGGCCTTCCAACACGCGCAGTTCTCTCCTTATCTGCCATTACCAATCTCAGTCACACCACAGCTACGTGCTCACACAAAATGATCGAACTGAACACCTTATTTAAAAACTTTATCCAAAATACTGATGAAAAGGAAGAATATAATAACAAAGAAGCCTATTTACACTAATTACAGAACCTGAAAATAACCATGGATTAAAATGGATTTTGAAGTGATTCACTTCATGGATAATTTTCTACTGCACAAAATTCATTAGTGAAGTGAGAGGCACGCAATGTATTGAGGGTGAAACTGGGCCTTTAAGGAAATAGACACTTTATAGGCCAAAGGGAAGAGCTTTGTCAAAATGTTAGTGGCTTTCCCAGGACATTCTGAGGATTTCCCAATCCTTGGGATGAACAGGGATAATTCTGAAGGCATATTGAATATCAGTTTTGGACATGTAACAGCCTGCACTGGACCATGTTCAAGTACCAAGAAAATGGCATCATTCATTCAGATATATTGGAGGGTGAAATCTTCAATGGGTATATTGGCATTTAAACTCTTCGAGGACTTTTTGGGAAGGATAGATGGAAGATAGTACGCCACTTTTTACAATTTTTTTTTTTAAGGACAAGGCCAACGGTTGAATCTGGAAGTTTTTGAAAGATGAGGTTTTGAAGGGGCCAGCAAGGCAACCAAACTTAACCTCATTAGTCTGGGAGCAAATGTAATCCTGTGGGAATTTCGTGCTGAAGGCAAGCCACCAGTCTAAAAGTGTTCATTAGGGTCTAGTAAACATGAAAAGTTTGGTGGGAACTCTGCAACTTGCTAGGACGGGTTTTAAGGAGGGTTGAAAATCGGACGTATATGAGCCAACCTGAAAACGAGGCTAGTACATTAAATTCTCCATAACCTCATCAATTACTATCAGTTAACCACCAAACTTGGCAGATATTCATAAGTTGATTATTTAGTGACAACTGCTGATTATGAAGTGGTCACGTGATTTTCTAGCATGAAAACCAGGCTGGAATAGAATATTACATATTACTATATTTAATGTTTGCAAAAGCTTGTCAAACTTACTCAAAATTGCAGAAATATGCAATTTGATCATTTAGCGACAGCTCCTGATTAAGAGGTGGTCACATGACCCAGCATGAAAGCGAAGCTGGACCAGACAAATGCATGTAACCTTTTTTAAATGTTCACAATAGCTTGTCAAACTTTCTCAAAATTGATCCCTCCATGATATGGTTGCACTGATAATATTGTCATTTGCCACGTGGTCAAATTTCCTGCACGGAAATGAGGCTCCAAGCAACCATTCATTTTATGATAAATTTATACTGGTAGCAACCTACTTAATTAAAAAAAGACAAAAAAACAACAACAACTTAAAAAAATGCAGTAGTGAAAATGAAAATTGCCATATTTTTCACCTTTCGTTGGCCAAGTATTTGCCTAAGGATGCTTACCATATTTAATTTAACGCATCATCATCATCCTCTTCATCCTCAATGTCACTGTCATCATAAGTCAATGTTATTCACACTTGTTTTAAAAAAATAATGACATAAGGAACAGATCAGTGTTATCCTTATGTCCTTGTGTTCAGTTGCTGTTATGATGCTAATATGTCATTGTGTCAGTATGTCCACAATGCAATGCAAACATGTCTTATGTTGTTATGTTGTAAGGGAAAAAAGTGTGAATCTGAGGCTCTACATTTTATTGGTATAGCAGTAAGAAAATGTTATCTGGTCTGCACAGTTGTACCGTGTAACAATGTGTAAACTTGTGCTTATGTTATCACTTTTTCAGGTATCTATTGAAATAGGGATATACACTGTACATTGTATACATGGTTGACTGTTCCTGACTTGGTTTGTTTTTCAGGACTGCACTAATGTATGCCTCATTACTTGGACTTTCCGTAACTGTAGAGATGCTTCTAAAAAGAGGTGCTAATCCACAGCTGACAGATAGCAGTGACCATACAGGTATGTTAAGGTGATTCCTCAGAAATAAAAGTTGCTGAACAATTTTTTTGAAACTTTCCCTGAAAGTTCCCTACCAAGCACTGTATCAAAAAATACAATAAAAAAGATAGGTCACCATTCTTGCTTAAGAGATATGATGGGCCGATCTTACCCCATTTATTAGTGCAGAGTGCACTATTGGGATGGTTTAGGGGGCTGCTGTTCACTAAGGCACTAATGCTATAAGGTGTAAACTTGTTTAATGAATTAATTTCAATTAATCAATTAGCCTTGTAGGAAGGGGGGACTGGGTGTGGTAGGTACCCGAGTACATTACGCAAAACGTGTCATACTTACGTTGCCTTCTTTAATAACATGACAAAAATATATATACGGTTTTGCAAATCTCATGCTATCCTTGTGGTGCCATTCTCTCAAGAACAAAAGCAATTTGCTCCAAACGCATGCGCAGATTAGTTAAGCATCAAAGTCGACTTTATGTTAGGTGAAAGGTACATTTCATAACATATAAGACACATGCATTCTAACATTGCTAGTCTGATAGACTCTGTTCTCGAAGTCAGATGCACTTTTTTTTACTTTTTGTAATGAGTGATATCACACTCTCGTTTTGGCTGGGGATAGCAGTTATATTTCAGGTAACATCAGTTCTCCTCTTTTAGTGCGATGAATGTTACTGTGACTGGGTATCTTCTGGAATTTTCCCTAGCTCGATTCAAGAAATGTCGTGTGCTGTTTTATAACTATTGTGTGTTTGCCAGGGTTGAAATAGAGAATCGGAACATATTGCTTCTCCCTAGCAGGTTGTTTCTTTCCTCTTCTATGAAAGAGAGCCCAAAGATCATATTCAGCCGAAACTTTCCTGCGTTAGTTACATGTAAAACTAGTACATTTGTGACAAAAGAAACTTTGTTATTATTGCTGCAGTTTCCGTGGCACTTACTGAAACCTCCAATTAATTTCATCAGTTAATGACGCGACTTGCTCACCGATGTGGGATATAATTTCGGTCAAGGAAAGATCTCTACCTTCAATACTTGTTGAAACACTCCTCATCTGTATTACTCGATAGCATTGTGTATTAGTTTGATGTGGTTTTATTGTTTACACCAACTTGGCTGGCAACAGAATTAGAACACACTATTCCGTGATTTGACGTGACTATTTGATAATTAGATTAATTCTTGTTTATTGGTGAAATGAAAATTTCCGTTTTGAATCAAACAAAATCGTTCCTCTTCGACTTTTCAGCAGATATTTAACTTTTATATTCCATTTACCTCCAGCAGTAAGTTAAAAACATACTCTCATACTCTGCAAAGGGGAAAAGGCATAGTTGACTACCAAGGGACAGAACAGCAGGGGTGAGGAGGACCTGTATGACTACTGCATCAGAGCCGTAAATTACACTCTGCACTATCTGAGATTGTCTCACTAGTTCCTAATCATGCCTGTTATTTCATCAGTTCACACTACATTTTGTGGTAGCTGGAAGCAAAGGTTGTTAAAGCAGTACTGGAAAATATCTTGATATTAGGTAGACAGTATTGGGCACATGGAACAATGTCATATATATAATTTATGGCAAAATCCCACAATTCTAAATGACACTGACTCAAAACATTCCTCGAAACGTTGTTTTTGAGGTCATAGTTCGCAGCCTCCTGTATCGGTTTTGTGCACTCTTTTAGCTATATCTTTTTCTCTTTCCGAACAATTGTTGTCCTAATTTTTTAACTTTATTAAAGAGGATAATTTGTACACCAAAATTATGCAATAAAAAATATAGGTCACCAGGCGAGTTTCTTAAGTGTCGGGCAAGTGCAAATAATAGATCACTCGCCTGTTTGGTGAGTGCAATTTTCGTTGCAAAGAAATTATTTCATTTGCAAAATAAATGCTGTGTTTTACACAGTAAATGGTTTGAACCCAGGAGTATCAGTAGTTCGTATAGTGTGATCATCCGAGTGCGGGTAGTTCTGAAAAGAACCGTTGTTGGTGACTGATGTTTTGACAACCTGAGTGGAAGTCATCTTCAGAGTCAAGTGAATAGTGTTTGTCAGTCGATGATGTTATAAGTCTGGTCCGTTGAACGTGATTGGTCAGTTTAGCCATGATGGTATTGGCTAAAAGACTGGTGTTAAGTTTGTCATCAGTCATTGGTTGGTTTCAATCCGTCTATTGTTAGTCAAATTGGTCGGTTTTTGATCCGTTTACTGTTAGTCAAATTAAGTCAGTCAGTTAGAAGTCTGTTTGCCAGTTTTATCTCTGTCATGGATGTCCTTTGCAGGTGCAGGTAGTTGTTGACATTTGCTAAGAGGCGTTTGTTCTAGGTTAGTTTACCAGCTTTCCAGAATCAGTCGTTGAAAATAGTTTGTATTGTAGGTTAAGCACTGAGCAGAGTCCCAGTCGATGTTGTGGTTTGTCAGTTGGTGATGTACAGCAATGTGATTGTTGGCGTCACCATTTCCCGTGGCTTGTTTGTGTTCAGTCAGTCTAGTGTGAAGGTTTCTGCCAGTCTCACCAATGTAGGAGGTCTGGCAGTTGGAGCATTTGATCTTGTAAACTGCTCCCTGCCTGTTGTTAGGTTCATCCCATGATGTCTTCTGTCGGTAACAGTAGTTTAATAGTAGATTGTTGTATAGCGATCTCGGTACACTGTAATGCCAATTGAAGTGGAATACTGGTGAACAGTGATTTCACATCAAAAGACACAAGTTTGTAGCCGTCGGGTATCTGTACTGTCTTAATGATGCCAATAAAGTTCTCCGTAGATTGTAGTTTGTATCTTGATTTGTCAGTAAGGGGTTGCAGTATGGTCGTCAAGTACTTGGACAGTTCATACGTAGGGGACCCACAGAATGATACTATAGGTCGCATCGGTATACCAGGTTTGTGCAGTTTCGGTAGTCCGTAAAGCTTCCATGGTTGTGGTACTGAGCACCTCAGTCGATAGTAGTGTTGAGTGTCAATAGTGTCAGTCTTTAAAAAAAGAAAAAAGAAATAAAAAAGACTGATGCTATTGACACTCAACGCTACTATCAACTGAGGTGTCCAACCCAAGGTCACCATGCTCGTTTAAGAGAAAACAAGCATTTATTTCGGTGTGGAGCTTAGCTTGAGGGAAATCTTTTACGTTGTGTATGTGCACGTGCTCATTTGCGTGTGCTAATAACACGAAAATCATGCGCAGTAGGGATGGGCAATGCACTACTGAGGAATCACAATTATGGGCACAAACTAGAATTAGGCCAGGCCAAGAACTAGGCAAAGCACTGTTAATTACCGGTACATATCTAATCAAAATTGGGATGCTTAGTTGGCATTCCAAAAATATGATTTTCAATACTTTTTCACTCTTTTGACAGCTGAGGACTATGCACGTTTGTGTCATTACCAAGATATTATTGATCTTATGCGCAGTGCTCCATCTATAGCAACATGGGATGCAGGTAATATGGTTATGTTTCATACCAAAATATCTTGCTTGTTAGAGAAGACTGTGCATTAAAACTCTTTCTAGAAAGTAAGGACAAATCAAACTTGTAAAATTGGATTAAATAAAGGTGGCAAGGGGAAATTCTGCAACATAGACTGGTGCAAACATAAACAACAGCTAGCTACATTCTCTAGCTTCAATCTACTACTCTAGCTGAACTGTGTGTGTTTAAACTACATCTACGTTCCAAAATGAATAATTATGGTTGTAAAATTTTGTTTGTCAGGTGAAACATCAGAGGATACTGAACATGATGAAGAGGAGAGCAGTACACGAAATGTGATTATATATTGAGTCCTTTTTACATGATTGTTTTTCCAGATTTCATCCTTTGAATGTTTCGTAATTTTGATTACTTTGAAGCCAGTATTTCAGTTTAAAACAGAGTTGTACTTATTTCTAGTCAGGTCATCCGTTATTCGACAAATGTGTCAGTATATTAGTTTGCCATTGTTATGTCCACATTTTAAGTTACAAGCATTACCCTGAGGAGACAAGGAGTGCTAATAGATAAGTATATCTTATTAGATGTTTTGGTGTGTAGTATCACTGTATACTTTTACGAGTTGTGTCATGTTTTGACAAGCCCTATCATCAAAATGCAAACAATGAGTAAGAATATAAAGCGATACACACCAAAACATCTAATAAGAGATTTATTATCCAACTGCTGTAGTCAACAAATTTATCAGTAAAGGAGGGAGAGTGTGACAGTTTTGTGTGAACGTGCTGACAAGTCCAGCAAACAGGTTTTCTACTGTACAAATAACTGTACAATATCGCTGTATATTTGTACTGTAATTTGGACGGTATTTGCTGCAGTTGGATAATAAGTCTAGTTATTAGACTGTTACTGTGTGACCTCAGTGTTCATATGAAGTAGTTCAAATTAGTTGAAACTCTTTTGTTGATATGCTAGGGTGAGGTTATTTCACAGTTCAGCAGTCCTGAAGAATCAGAGGCTGACACATCAGTTTCACTGCACCCTAAAACAGTGTCAACAATGTCAAGTAATACTGGGGTAAGCCTATATGCTACATTCATTTAACAAAGTTTGTTTCTACAGGCTCTTATGAAAATTGATATCTAATTACAAGGACCCTTTGTAGTATTTTGCTCATGGCATTTCACTAACGAAAAGTATGTAATTATAATCTTATTATGTTATTAAACTAGCATGAGGTTCTTACTGGAGAAATATTGATCAAGTTCCTTTTTTTTGCAGGTGTATGGACCAAGCCACAGGCAAAGTCCATAAACCTGCATATTTTACCTCAAACATTGTGGTAAAATTGTCAGCATCTTTGTACTAACTTTGTTTTTTCTTCAGGTTACAAGCTCAGTAAATGGTGGCAATTTATCACCACAGGTAAATCTAGGCACACATTATATTTATGCATTGGCTATTTTGGATGTCAGTTTCAGTATGTTATTTGTGTGTTGCAAATGAAGATGGTAGTGCATTGCAGGGGAAAGAAGTCCTTTGATTATGTTCCATGTACACTCTCTCGCTCACATGTCTGCCCCATGGGCATCTGAAGTAACCCTCAGACTACTGAAAAGGACTGCAAAAAAGCTTCACAATGTAACATCAATTGATAGTCACAAGGGACCTCAGAGGCACAAGCAATATGGTCATTCTACAAGTCAATACCACATGCTAATTGACCTAAACTAGTTATAACCAAAAGTTTGGGGGCCAGGGTTAAAAAAATAGTTTTAACACTAAATTTAGTCCTACATGCCTCCTTTGTAAGATAGAAGCACGACACTTGATGTGAATCCCTGGGAGCAATGAATAGTATTGGATGTGAAAATAGTAGCATGGTGTGTAGAAATTGTACTGCCACTGCACCTGTTTCAGAAAAATTGCATTTTTTTAACGGCTAGAGTTGTCCATTGAAAATTACTAGTAAGAAATCTGACTAGTAACAGCACAACTATGCTGGAAAACATAGCTAAAAAATTAACAATTTCTCTTGTGCTTTGCTAATAATTAGTCATATGGTCTTTTGGTTTGTGTAATTAATGATAAGTTTGTTCTATTGACATTATAGGAATCCTTTTCATCTATGGCTTCAACACCCCTGTCATCTCCAAGAGCAGCTAATCAGGATCTTTTGGGAGATATCAAGGTTAACAAGACTTTTGTTTGGGTTGAATTTTGCTGTTTTAAATAATAGAATGGGTCGAATTGAATTCTTGGTTTTTAAAGTTTTGAAAATTTAAGGTGGCTCTGAACCCTATGTACAGAATTTTTTTAAAACTTTGCCAAAAGTTGCGTCTTACCATGTTTATTAAAATTTGATAATATAAAATAAATTCATAGTGCTGTTTTTGAATTATAAGCCTATAAGCTGTAATTAAGGGTGTTTTTAGAAGGTAATACTGTTGCTATACTAACCTACTGTGTCTTGAAAATGATGACATGTTCACCAATGATTGGGCAGTTTTTTGGTACCATGATTGTAGCATCAAGTGATAAAGAGTGATTATAACAACCCATCAAAATCTAACTGCTGGAAACTGTTTTGAGCCACCTTAAGTGACTTTTGAGTTAATTAGTGGCCTGCATAGCAAGCGTTTCTGTGGGGTTTAGGAGCAAAGAATTACAGCGTGAAAAATGGAGTGAGTAAAAGAGGGGGGAGGGGGAGGGGAAGGAAGGAAAGAAACGCTTGCAGACAAACCCCTGGATTTTGAAAACAGCCCACTTAGCCTTTCATGCCTGAGTGCACACACTGAGATTTCGTGCTGTCATCGGCTGTCATAAATTAACCAATAAAATCTTCGGCCTTCCAAAGTAGAAGTGAACTTTGAACGAAAATAAACTTTACTTGTCAAAACATGTCTGAAACAACGAGCGTACAGTGAGAACGGAGAAATCTTGATGAATTATATTTGGTAATTTATGATCAAGCTATATTTCTACTCAATCCATCTAAAAGGAAGGACTGCAAGGGTGAAGTTTTAGCACAAATCTGCCAGAAAGTTAAAATGTGAGAAGTATTCCAGTCGTGTTAGTAATCCTTGTGCTCGCATGATTCGAAATCTTGGATCACTGTATTCATTCATCCAGGAATCAATACAAGGTAAAATTAGCAAGTCAACTCCCACAAAGGCAATTCCAGTAAAGAAGCGTTTGCTGGAAATGCCAGATCCTCAAATTGGTTCGAGTGTTATTGCCTGCAGCAAAAACAAACAACAGAAAGTCTTCTCGGCAAACTTTGGAATTTGGGCAGGAGAGGCTTCAAGTAGCCTGCAGAACAGGCGGGTTAGCGGGCTCTAACGTGATACATGAGCGGGCGCGCGTTAGAGCCCGCTAATCTGCCTGTTCTGCAGGCTAACATCTGAGAGGGGAAATAACGATAATCTTGACCAGTATCTGAATAAAGATAATCTTCCCCTAGGCGGCCTCCAAGTCAAAATTGTTTATAAAATATCCTCGTAAGAATTCCCCGCGACGAGAAGACTAAATTTTTGGTAAGGCAAATATGTGACAAAAACTGGCATGCTGCAGCTAACACTATAACAAATCATTCAGAATTGTACCCAGAGGTTCTGAATGCTGTCAACAAAAATGCTTCTAAAGAAATGTCAGAGTACCTACGACAACATGTTGCCATGTAACAAGCGAGACGAAATCACTAGGTTTTCCCATGCAGTAGTGCGAATTTTCTGTCCCATGGTTGATTATCTTGTGCTTGGCGCATGTGGCATTCAAGAAAGTGATGTTAAAATTGAAGGAACAGCTGCAAATTGTGTGGTATTTGCTTCTGCAATAATGTGCCGGCTTCGAAAAACTTAAGTGTCAGCATTGCACTAGAGGATTTCTACTGTACTGTCGAAGCTGACGACTAAATCCTCGTTCAGTGAGAAAAGTTAAAGCGTTTTGTAACCAAGCTTCGAACACGTCTTCCCCTTTTGTCTGGCACTCAAAGGTATTAAAATACCTTTGATCGACACATGTCAATAATATTGCACTAGCCCAGCCAATCACGAGCTCGGTTCGCTGGCGAACGGAGGTTTTCAAAATCTAGGGGTTTGTCTGCAAGCGTTTCCTTCCTTCCCCTCTCCCACCCTCCTCTTTCTTTGTTTTGGCTCTCGCCCCATTTTCNCCTGGCTATGCTTCATCCTGTTGAATCATTGACACTTAAACAACTCACGTCAAAACTTGTAATGCTGTTGCTATTAGTATTGGGCCAGCAAGGCCAGACTATTCATTTGTTAGACAAATCACATGTTTGTGAGTGATGACAAATACACATTTTTCATCCCTAACCACCTAAACAAATCAAACCAGGGGTATCTAACC